ATCAAATGAATTTCATTTCGGAATTGATCAGCGAGTCAAATAAAAAATTTAACACATTTCTGGATTTGTGATTTAAACAATTTAAAACCACCCAAGCAAGTGTCATCTTATGTTAAGTTCAGTAGATCGAAACTTTCAACTAGCAGTATTGTGGAAACATTAAAAAACGAATCACTTCCATTGTGCGGCCCATTAACATTTTAATATGCACCTTTATAAGTATCTTCCGTTATTGTTATAATTCCCACATTTGCCACGTTCTCAACCTTGCAACCTTGCAACAAGCTTTTGTGTTATCCACTAATCTAACTAATTTCCACACAAATTTCACCGCTTATCTTAGCTACTTTGTATTCCTTCTATGTTGCACACGAGTTGCAACATCAGCAGCAGCAGTAGCAGCAGCAGCACAGCACGCTCGTTCTCAATATTTCAAAATCGTTTTTTCTTTTGTTTCGATTTTGTCAATGTGCCACATGTGTCGGCCATATTCCAACATACATACACATCTGTATATAGATTTTCTATTCCATGCTACAAAAGCCACAAACATTGTGTGGGTGTGTACGTAGAAATAGAAGAAAAGGGTTAACTGCTTGTTGTGGGACTTATCAGCTGCAACAACTTTTACTTGCAGCAACAGCAAACGCAACCGCAGCAACAAAAGCAACGGCGACGCAATACCTAAATATCCTTACTAGTTGTTTGCCCCAAATACATACAAGTCCCTTTATGCTTGCCACAACATTTACGTGTCGTTTGTGGTGAAAGGCAAGTGGGTGGTGTGCATGCAATTCCATAAAAACACAAATAAACACTTTTGTATATACCCTGCAAAAAATTGTGCGACTAATCTCTAAAGAGAGTATTCCGAGATTACTCTCAATCGGGTACAATTGGGCATTAATTAGTACCAACTAGTCTCATACGGGTACTAATGGAGGTCAATTAGTCTCGACTCATCCCTTATGGGTATAATTGGAGATCAATTAGTCCCCAACTCATCTCTAACGGGTACTATTAACGATTTAATGATATGTACGCACTTAGTCAATGGAACTTCATGTGCGGCGTTGGCACACAGAGAGAGTATTCGCCTGACAAAACTGAGCACTCCGGTTCGAATCTCAGCTGGCGCGAATTTTTTTTTTTTTTTTTTTTAAGTGAATAGTCGCTTTTTATACCCGTTCGGGTATAAAGGTGAACAATTAGTCTCTTCATAGGACATGCTCGAACAAAAGCGATCAGTTCATTCCATATAAAGGATCAAAAGTGGTATCATCCCGGATTAGTCCAATTTTTTGCAGGGTATGTACATACTTTGCTGTGTGTGCGAGTATTAGTGGTAAATTGGTTAGAAAGTATGTCGCTCGTTGTTGGCTGGCTGGCACTGGTGGCACATTGCAATGTAAATTAAAAATATAATCGTACCATAGTTCCTCATGACGTTTGCCAAAGGCAGTTATGTGCGCTAGAAAAAAAAATTGAAACAACAATAACAATAATAATAGTAGTTAGTAGCAGCAATGATGTTTGCCGTGTTGCTCTTAACCACAAATGTTTTCGTTTATGCATTTCATTTGGGATCCGTTTCAGCCTTACTTGTAAATATTCTCTAAATGTGTCGAGCTCCAGTTTTGGACTGCAGGCGTTGGCAAGCTACGGTTGCGGTTGAAGGCTGTTGGCAGGAAGCATCTCTCCTAGTGTGTTGGCTGTTCCTTTTACAGTTGCTTATCTAAATGCGACTGGTACACATGCACACTATAATTCACTCGTAATTCACCCCGTCTTTGCTAAGCACTACAATCTCTAGACCAGCGCGCACTCACAGATATACAAAATATACAAACAAATTGCACACAGCGAATGCAAGTGAATGCCAGTTCGGTGTGCTCCTTTTTGCTGGCACCCAACAGCTGATGAAGTTGAAAAAGGTAAAGCGTCGGCAGCAGAGAAAGAAGTTTTTCATCTGCTAAACGTTTGCATCTCCCTTGGGTGTGTTTTTGTCTTTAAAAGGTGGCATACAGTGGGACCGAAGTGTTGAAATTTCAAATTGCTAAAATAAAACAGGGGGTTTCGGCATTTCGCTCCTGGGATTTTCTAAACTTAGATCGCCTGAAAATATGAAACAAATGCTGTGTTCTTAATTAAAGTTAAACGAATCACTACTCTGAAGGCTTCAAATGACTTTGTACGGCCCCTGTTCTGAAACAACCTTGGACGAAGGGATTACGTACAACAACCGTCAGCGAACCAAAATGGGAGAACCATGGCTTTAGGTTATGTGTGTGTGCACGTATATACCCACTAAAGAGTCCATGAATAATCCGTCCACAAAAAACGGGATCCGTGTTTCACCAAAAACCCCAATATTGGAGAATAGTGTAAGTAAGGGAAGTTCGAGAGATGAACGTCAATATGTAATGCATGTGCCGATAGAGGAATGAGCTATGGTCTTGATTCCATTATTACCCGAAGACCAATAACTGCCAAAGTAACAAGCCCGATAAATACCTCAAATGTACGCACGGAGTAATATCTACAGCGTTCTGACAGATAACATATGATGGACGCGCGAAACGCCTCGTGCGATCCCTGGCGGAGGCATCGGAATCGATGACGGATATGAGTGGTGCGCCCTCTTGGCTGTGTTTATCGTATCCATATCGAAGCTACGTCAACCATCATACATAGTTTCACTGATCTCGTTCGCTGGCGAATACTGTCTACCCGAACTTTCTCGGCTTTTCATGGAGCAGAGCCTCAATCAACTCGCTATAAAATAAACCTCAGCTTTCTTCACTACCAGAGCGAACTAAGTCAAGCTGAAGTCAGTGGACGAAACTCCAGATCTATCAGGACACCGTGCTCTGGGTAGCATGGGGTTGACTTTTGTTGTCGAGTGAACATCAGCTGCAAAGCGAGGCTTCAATACTCGTACTCAGGAAACAGAAAGTCATGTTTAGAGATATAGATGTCTGAAGCAGAGACATATCTTACGAACTGCAGAAAGCATCTTCCCGAACATACGAGGCTTCAATACTCGTCCTCAGGAAACAGAAAGTTCTGTTTAGAGATACAGATGTCTGAATCCGAGTCACATCTTAGGAACTTCAGAAAGCATCTCTCCGAACTTACGGACGGGATCCAGACATACATGGCACAACCAGTAGACCGTACGTTGTAGAGACAGGCCAAAAACCGACGATCGCCGAAAAAAAAATTACATCCTTTAACAGCTCTCGCCACGTGAATCCCATCATCGGCTTTCAGACATGGCCCAAAGCAGACGAAGAGCTTTAAATCGAGAGATCTGGCGCAAACCAGGTCTGGTTACTGTAACAGACTATACTCTTAATTATCAAAACTCAACCCCCGATATACATATGCACCTATAAATATCTAGCTTGTGAAGGTACACCAAACGTCACGAATTATTTATTAACATGTCCGTTTAAAACCATTCAACAAACACTCCTGCCCTTTTCGTCGGATTTATCGTACCTGCCGTTTGATGAGCCTGACGGCAACGATTCAGAGACAGAGCTAAGTCTTGCTACTTGTTGGACATGGTGATCGGCATTCACTCCGCATATGATCTTGTCCAGTCTGTTCGCAGCCTTGGGACTTCAAGCCGTCTGGTGTAACTTCTTAGAGGATGCTCGCGATATAATCGACAAACCGGACGTTGCTGAGAAGCTGTAACAAATTACATTCGATGATTGACATGCGAGGGAATGCTCAAGCTGCTACATATAATCTTTCACTGGCTGTCTCAACCATTATGTTTCTGCGCCTAAAACTAGAAAAGTGAGGAGCTCGCAAAATCCAGGATCTTTGGGTTTGGGTGGATTACAGCATTAAATTTGGTCAAAAAATCGATTTCTTTCCCACTTAGTTTTCTCAACCCGCCTAGCCAAGAAAACATTGAATGATTGACTATGAAACTTCTCGGGTTGGTCACTACATATGTATATAGTCCAGGGACCTGAACTTTATTCCCGGCAGGCTACAGCACATGAGGGAAACCAAAAAGTAGGGAATTTCCTATTGCCCTCGGGCAAATCATACGATGTGGGTATATACCAACATAGCGGCTTATCTATTTCGATATTAGGAAAATAAGTCTCTGCCATTTGACATTTGTTCATATAAATTTTGCCAGCTATGTCCCAGCGTGCACCTGTCACATTGCTATATATTTATTTGCCAACAGCTTATTTTAAAGCCTAACATAGAGTTGGGGGTTGGCATGTGGTAAAGATAATATTCATATTTATTAATGTCTTTTACAGTTCGCACACTTTCTAAATGCGTGGATATTTGCTTATCAAAGCGACCGCACACACAAATTCAGCCTATACAATTTAAATATGCCATTCACCCTCTCCGACCTGCCAGCAATTCTGCATTTTTTAACGCATTTCGCTGGCAAACTTGCATGAAAGCCAATTGCTTGTGGTTGCAGGTTGTTGCGTGGCAAGTGAAAAGCGAAATAAAAAATTACAAAGAAATAATGAATTTTTAGATTCGTCATTGCCATATAATCTTTGCATTTAAGTATTTTTGCTTGTTAGGGTTGTTTCATGTTGGCATGTGAGCACGTGTTGGCGACATAAAATGACAAAAATCGCACAAAGCTGTAAAGCGTTTCTTCGTGTTTTGAGTGGCAGTTGGAGGGATTTGCCGCTAATAAGAAATTACCAACAGCCGCAGTTCAACGGGGGTGCGCGTGCAGTGGCTGTGCGGTTGCTGGGACGCCAAATGATATAAAACAAACGAAATGTTTGATCTTATTTCACATTTTCGATTTGAAACTAAGATTTTATGGAGTTTACTACTTCCCTATGCAGTGACTGTAGCCAGACTGTGGCCACTTTGTGTGGTGTATAATTGTAAATATTTATGGAAATTTTGTGGCACACGTGCGTGTAGGTATGTATTTAAAAGCATTTATAAGTAGTATTTGTTTGTGTAAATATATGTACATATGTACATACCTGCGTTAGCTGCGATGAGGCATAGTAGGATATTCTCGAGGGGCAGATCGATTCCGGCTTAGAGTAAATTGTGTCAGCGATATGATCTCTGCCCATGGGTAATAAAGCGGTCGCATAGGGCGAGGGAGTGGGCGGCGAACTGCGAAATCCTGCAAAGAAAATCAAAGCAAAGTTGTTGTTAATGTTTCTTATGTCTTAGCTAAGAAAATTTATATGAAGATGTTCAGATCCAAATCATATTTTTCGCAGTACAGTTGTAAACGTAAAAAAAATGAAAGAGGATAATAAACGATATTTTAGTCTGTTTTGAAATGTACTTCATTGGAAAACTTAACAAAGGAAATTTGTCGTTTCGCTCAATTGCGTGAACAAAAATAGGGTAGTTCAATAAATAAAAATGCGAACAGAGCGATATTAAAGAGTTAGTTTTTGTTCGTATCCTTATGTTAGGCTAAGCTGGTTGTCCCAAATAGGGGCACAACTAAACCAAAAGGGGTTAAAAATGTGATCCAAGATGTTTAAAGATGTTTAGACTGTAGGCTTGCAAAAGTTGGACACTTAAAGCGTTGGCGCTGAAATTATTCTCCCCTTTGCCGTTTTCCAAATTGCAACAGCAAGTAACTGGCTTGATATATAGTATCTAATCGGATAGTGTCCTGCCAATACACCCATCAGAGATTCCTTGACTGATTTCGGTACACCCCAGGGTGGAAAGGCCTTGCAAATACGTGTACTGGTTTTCGACCCGCATTCTCTGAGTTAACTTATTATAATTTGCTTGGGATGAACCCGAGGGTGCTTTTATTGGGCAAGCTCATCTCTATGCATTTTCCCGTAACACCAGCTTGACTTATTACCAATTTAAGTCTGATCAGGAAATACTAATTTGCTCCGAAAGAGAGTTCAGGCATTCCCTAGTTAGTTTTGAGCACACCATGAACGAGTCCTTCGCCCGGATTGAGGCTTTAAAATTAGAGTAGATATTTACCTACCTGGTCGAAGACCCATAAATAAGCAGTCAATCAACTGATACCTAAATGGCAGCTGAATACTACCTCAACCTAGAAAAGATGGTGGCAAAAGTGCCATCCACCGAACCCTCCCTAAACCGTCAACCCATCTATATAAAAGTCCATCGAGATCTCCCTCCAAACACTACCTCCCGTCTAATCATCCCCTGGAATGTGAGTGTAGAGATATTTAAGTAGTTGGGGCCAATCTAGCCACGCAGAATTCTCTGTTATGAGGAATAAAATCGAAGCCTCTAAGAATATTCCATTTTCCAGTAAGTGTGACTGTAGCCATTGCTTCAGCAGGGGTGAAAATGTATGCCTTGCTCCAAATGAGGCTTCCCATGGGGATTGTAGCCCATATGGATATAAAATGGACACTATGACGGCTCTTCACTGCTAATAGTCCAGTTTCGTGCCTCGTCTCTAAGCAAACCCAAGGCAGCAAGGCTCTAAGTTCTCCCCGAGTATTTCAGCACAGTTAACTAAATTTTTATACATTCATATGTACATAGATTTTTGTATTATGATCATATTCGTACTTGTATTCGTTTACATATGCGTATTCGTATTCATCTTCCTATTCGTATAAGTATTCGTATTCGTATTTGGATTTGTATTCAAGAACTTTTTCGTGCTTCTATTCACATTCGTGTTTATATTTATACTAGTATTCGTTTTCATATTCTTTCATGTATGCTTATTCGTATGCCTATTCGTATTCGTACACAAATTTGCTCACGTTCTTGTGTCTGTTCCTATTTGTAACCTATTTGTAATCATGCTCATATTCGTATTCATATTCGTAATAATATTCGTCTTCTAGTAGATATTCGTATTCGTGCTAGTATTCGTATTCGTCCAATTCTTCGAATACTTACTGTCAAATATGTTGCAGGACTTCTTCGACTCCGAAGGATACTTATTCAGGCTAGCGATAGTCGCATAGGAACCACTGTTCGCGCTTGGCGGTCTTCCCAACGGATCCAAGCGTATAAAAACGTTCTGATGGCTGCCATAGGCGGCAGTGGTGAAGCTGGTACTACAACAACAAGAAAAAACAAACATAAAAAGAAGTAGAGTAAAAGTGAGAAATTAAATTCCATAAAGCAAATGCATTTACATTTCCCGCAAAATACTTACTGCATTGAATCCTGCCGTATCTGCTTGCGTGCGCGTACATACATCGCCGACGCAACCAGCCCAACAACCAGCACTAGGCCGAGCGCACAAGCCGCGGCACCCAGCAGCGCGTGTCCCGGCGAGGGCGCTTGAGCGGGCGCTGCTGACTGATTGGGAGCGGGAAATAAACCTGGAGAATGAAAGAGAAGAACGACAAAAAAAGAACAAGCAGAATATGCGAAAGAGAAGAGAAAATTGCAAATGAGCGATTAAAAATGCAATGTTGCCCGATAGCAATAATGTCATGAGGATAGGATGCGTGGATAGGATACTCGGTGGACTACGTACTACATAAATAGATTAGCCAAGCTTGGTGAGGGCTTACCTTTGAGGCAGATTTTATTCCGTTTAAAATGCAATTTGGTGTCATTAGTGCGCGGCGGACCGCTCACCAGCATATTGACGACGAGCGGCACCTCCTTATTGCCATTCCCCGTGCACGGCAAATGCACCAGAAACGTCTCAATTTGCTGTGGCACATAGCCCTTGTCGGGTATGCTGAGCGTGGGCGCGGCTAACGCAGTCTGGTCTTGCTCATAGTCGATGGTGATGGTGTAGGGCAGCTACAGGCGGCGTACATACATGCAATTGTTGTTGTTGTTGTGGTTGTATATGTATTTATGCGCGCGGGTGGTTACATGTTGGCGAGAAGGTTAATGGAGTGCAAATTAGATTTTGAGTGGTGCACAAGTGGGGTTACACACACACACACACAGACACAGAGAAAAAATACTAAGTGTAGGATGAAGAAAGGTGCGCTCCCTTATAAACTTACCGGATACGTGGTCAAACTCTGCCATGAGAACTCTAAATCATGCACATCTGCTGGCACTGGCACCGTAAAATGCATGGCGTATGTGTTGATGGCGCCCTCATGCACATAGAACAAATCCGCTTCCAAGCCTGGGGTGAGTTGTTGAAATGAAAAGAAATAAGAATAGAGAACAAAAAAAACAGTTACTTATATGAAATATGTTTGCTCGTATGTTGAACATTAAAACGCAATTTAGTATTGTACGAGTATCAATTTTCAAAGAAATTTGCTGGTCTTTTTCACCCTTCGCTTGTGTGCGAATCGTAACCAACACTACGCGACATTATCAAGGGATGGATAGCAACCCCTGAAAGTTGCCAATACACTTGAGTAACTAATGCACATAATTTGACTCCTGCTGCAGGCCTTTTCACTGCTTTGAACTTGCGTTGGTTAGAAAAAAAAAAAGCTTGTACTACTTTTTCTAAAAAAGGCGAGTGAAGTAAAATAAAAAATTGGGAAAAGTAGCTACAAGATTTTTTTTTTCGTTTTTGCCCTTTGAACGCGACACCTTCATCATCGTGCAATCAAATTTCATTGCTGAAAATGAATTTCTGGCAAGTGCACACTACAAAATTGTTCGCTTTGGCAGAAGTGTTGCTGCGTTCAATCGCATACGAGTACTATTCCTTCACTCGGGGGTGAAAAAACACTTGAAAATTTATTATTAGTTAGTATGCTAGTGGCTCTATTTGCCAGAGATGTGCTGTGCAAGGAAGAAAAAGGAGAAATAATAGATATAGCATTTTTACGCGCCTTTTAGCACCGTTGATGGGGAGCGATTTTTTCGCCAAGTGCTTTCAATATATATTTATTTCCTTTCCTTTTCACTTTTTCATGCCACTTTTATGAATGTCTTTATTCGGATAGTGATTTCTTCTCAAAAGCATTTCCGAATACGCACGCATGTATGTGTAAGCAGTGTACCCATTTACTGCTGCATATAAAAAATATAAATTCTATTTAGAAGGGTGAAAAGGCAATAGATTACCTTGAATGCGTAAGATATGAAAGGTATCAACTTTGTTTAAGGTTTGAAAGGGCTCTCATTTTTATGAATGTGGTATGGTTGTGCTTTTCTCTCCATACATTTTATGCTTGGCTGTTAAAGTGTGTGCAAGCGTTTATTTTTGTGGTTACTTATATTTTTTTACATTGCTCCTGATGCATTTGATTGTCATCGTACCTAATAATAATAGGAGTCACGACGGTAATTGTAATGGTATTCCTATTAATCATAGCATTGGTAACGGTTAAAGGTAGTAGTAACGATAATTATATTTGTAATTGTTTTAGTAATGGTAGTAGTAATGGTTATGGTAATGATAGGTAATGGAAATGTTAAAGGTAATGGTAATGGTAATTGTAGTTGTAATGGTAATGGTAATGATACTAATATAGGTGATGGTTATAGTAGACAATGGTAACGGTAATCCTAATATTAATTGTATGGTAATGGTAATGGTTATGTTAGTCTTAATGGTATTGGTAATGCTATCTGCCTTCGTAGTCGTATTCGTACTCGACTCTATCTTCATCTACGTATTCGCCTTCATCTTTCTCTAAGCCTTCGTCTTCGTCTTCGTCTTCGTCTTCGCCTCCGCATTCGTATTCATATTCACCTTCGTTTTCATTCTCGTCTTCGTGTTCGGCTCGATATTCGTCTTCATTTTGCTTATCGTGCACGTCTTATCCTTTATGTTCGCATTCCTCTTCGGATTTGTATTTCACTTCGTATCCGTCTTTGTCTTTCTCATAGTGGAAATAATATAACGAAGCTCTCCAAATTACAACTAAAAGATCTGAGGATGGCATCCATACCGAAACGTAAGACGTACTCTACGTCAAAAAACAGCCGTCCAAAATTCTAGTTTGATGAGCAATTGATTATTTATGGTTAGCCTGTTGGGCATGACAGATAGAGTAAAAGTTTTAGCGGGATTACTTTAATTTTTACGGTTTAAAGTCCCACTGACATCAAGAGGGCATTCAACAACGTCTGGCCGAAGGTGATAGCTAAATTACTACATAAAATTCTAAAATAAATCTTAATAGGTATGTAGTACAACGTTGCCTTTGGCAGAACTGTCTTAGCTGAGTGAAGCAGCATCTACTGGTAACATGTAAGTGTTTTTACCTATGGTCTGGATGGTAGTCGTAAGTGATTTGCTTTGGAAGTGAGGTGATTGCCTATGTAGAAGACGTGGCGCTTATATTCTTGGTTAAACTTGTGGACAACTTCTATGAGATGCTAAAAGGTTACCTGAAAACTAAATAGAAGGCTAATAGTAACCTCGCCGTCAGTCCTAGCAGGACAGAACTGTTCTTATTCACTAGCTAGTACTAGATAGATTCTCCACCCAATATTTCCTTCGAAGCTATCGTGGTAGCAAAATTAACCAAATAGTATAGAGTTAGGAAGATATCAGTGCAGCAGGGAAGCTACTGGTAAGAGATGTCTCCCACTCAAAGTACATGTTTTGCCAGATTAAACCATAGTCAAAGTCATAATATTTTGTGGCATTTCGTTCTAATGGAATTGCCTAGAGACAGGCAGGTGAGCGGACTGCTCTCAATAATACCGTCTACAAAATGTCAGGTCAGGTCTTTCTCTTCTCACAACATGGCGGGAAGGAGTGAAGACTTATATAAGCGCTATTACGTACAAAGTCCTTCTTGCCCAGGTTGGATCGACAGAAGTTTAGGAAGCCCTTAATGCTAGAAAGCCGCAGCTGCCGTAAGACACTGCGGAAAGGCACGGAGGATGACAGTATTCGTTGAATTTTGAAAGATGGACCCTTGCAGGATGGTTACGTTGAATATCGCAGACGATGAAATAAATAACTGTATGAGCTTTACAACGACATTTCCACTTGGAGTTCAGCGAGTAAAATACATATATCCGCGGATAGCTCATTTCTTTTGAATGGATTCAAACGCCTAAAAAGTAAGTGTTTGATGCGTTACCAGCCGTCAGATGCCATGGGTAGTCTAGAAAAACTCAATTTTATTCCCCTATTCTCTCAATAATACATAAGTATGTCAAGAGGAATGATTTGAAGCTTGACATTTTTGATTAAATGCATCAACTTGAACTCAAACTGGCACCTCCCGCAGTTCTTCTGACATCAATATTTCCCTGCTCTGAATCGTTTTATTAGCAATTTATACTTAGCTTAAAACGCACTTAATCTCCAACAAATTGGCCACGAAAATGAAGTGCTAAACTGAATATCTGTGATACACCCGCTTATTCCCTCTTTTCCCTACTTGCCGCACTCGTTTCAACAGCCAACACTATGTAAAAGCGTCAAATGTCAGTCGCCGAAATACCAAGAGGCGAATAGAAAATACGCAAAATGAATGCCGGAGAAACGTGGCGTTGATGTCAAATATATTTTCAACAAAGATTGCTTAGAAAACTCATTTTGTGTCTTTGTCAAATGCTGCTAACATTTAAGTGTCTTTTGATGGAAGATATTGTGTTGGCAAACAAGCGGCGTTAGACTTCCGTATTTACTCATGCATCCCTCCACCTTGTGGGGGTGCGATGGGTGTTGTGTGTCGCATGGTCGCATAGTTAAGGCGGCGGCTCCTTTGTCTCTTTGTAGCGGGTCAAAGACGTTTGGTGCCGCTGGGGAGCCAAAGCACTTAAAAGTAAACGATGTGAAATTAAATTTCTTTGCTGCATTATTCACTCATTGGGATCATTGCTAATCCATTCGCCTTTCGCAATTGACAAAAGCATATTTTAACAAGCGTCAAAGACAACGACAGCGACATCGAAAACGACAACGTTGAAATGAAAATTTTGCTTGCACAAGGAAAATGTCGCTATCTTCTGCACAAGCACATCAGCAGTTGTAGATGAGTAAACACGGAAACGCCTTGACGCAAAATGCGAGATTGCTGACATGCTGTTAGTCCAAGCCGGTTGTGCCAGCAATCTGCGGGTTAGACGAGCAACGGCAGACAGCCAACTGCTTCTTTGCCACCAGCTGCAAGACAGTCAGAAAATAACCAATACTTCTCTCGGTTTGGTGTTACAGTTATCCTGTTCCGACATGCTTCCTGCTTGGCTGTTTGGCTAACTGGAGTGACATAGTTTGGCAGGAATCTGACTGCGCGCATTGACATGTAAATAGAATGCCTGTATGTCTGAAGCAAATTACCCTTGCTCAGTGGCTAGACTTGGCCCTCTGCGAGCAGTGTGGGCGGTGTGGAAACGATGGTCATACGAATAAGGTTGAAGTGGGCTTACATATTGATCTGGCATATAAGAAAATTTAATAAAATTTCTAAAGCGAATACTGGTTGTTTTAATTTGAACCATATTATTATGGTTTAGCGAATTCAAGTCACTAGAAACCCGTTCTTTAGTAAGCCGCGGAAAATGAAAGAATGTCTAACGAAGATGTGATCAAATCAAATGAATGAAATAGTGAAAAAGTATTACATTACTTACACCTCTGATCTCTGATATGCAGATCAGTCTTTTTGTATTTTTTTTTTCGTCCATAGAGGGCTTTGCTTTTCAATCGGACCCAAAACAAAAGTTATGTTCCCCTTGTTCTTCCCGCAGATATTATTGGTGGTGCTACTGCCTTGAGAGACAAGACCGTTCACTCCCAGCAAAAAACACGATTACCACAGAAACGAAAGTGGAAACGAGCTAGGCGATGGGAATCGCTTACCCTTTCGCTTCAAGAAGGCCTTATTTTAACATGGGCATGTCATTGGAGGTAAGCCCTTACCCGCAGCATTACCTTCAAACGAAGGGAGAACGCATGGATAAACAGAATCCAGAGAAGCGAACAAAGAATGCCTTACAGGGAAACTAATGTAGAATGCCTAGATAAGTACATACTTATTTATATTAAATTGAAATCAGAAAATGTCTTAAAAGATTAAAATTAATTAAAATTTTTATAAATCAGCTTTTATACATACATATGTATTTTTTTAGGTATTTAGATTTTCTTAAAAATCGGTATGTACATACATTCATATTTAACTAAGCTTAAAATTGTACTTCCTCACTCTTGTACGTCACTTCATTGACTGACTTCAACTTCGCTGCAAATTGAAC